GCATAATACTCTCTAGCTCCATCCAGGTCATTGCAAATGGCAAGATTTCATTTTTATGGCTGAATAATACACACACACACACACACACACACACACACACACAGTATCTTCTTTATCCATTCATCAATTGATGGATGCTTGGGCTGCTTCCATATCTTGGCTATTATAAATAATGCTGCTTAAACATAGGGCTGTATGTATCCTTTAAAATGAATGTTTTTGTATTTTTGGGTAAATATCCAGTAGTGTGATTACTGGATCGTAAGGTAGTTCTACTTTTAAGTTTTTGAGGAACTTCCACACTGTTTTCCACAGTGGCTGCAGCAATGTGCATTCGTACCAACAATGCACGAATGTTCCTCTTTCTCCACATCCTCACCAACGCCTGTTGTTTCTTGCGTTGCTGATTTTAATCATTCTGACAGGTGTGAGGTGATATCTTATTATGGTTTTGATTTACATTTCCCTGATCGTGAGTGACGATGAACATATTTTCATGTGTCTATTGTCTATCCTTGGAGGAAGGTTTTAAATAATATCCAGTTTGTTAAATAGATATTGAGTTATTCTGATCTTCCACTTCCAGTAGATTTCATAATTTATGTTGTCTTTTTAAAAGAATTTTACCAGGGCATCTGGGTGGCTCAGTCAGTTAAGCATCCAGCTCTAGGTTTCAGCTCAGGTCATGATCACATAGATCACGAGATCAAGCCCCACGTTGGCTCTGTGCTCAGGGAGGAGTCTGCTTAAAGATTCTCTCCCTCTGCCCCTCCCCCCCACTCGTGCGTGCTCTCACTCTCTCTCTCTCTCTGTCTCTCTCTCTCTAAAATAAATAAATAAATCTAAAAAAATAAAAAGGAATTTTACTTTTCACTAAAGTGTCAAATTGATTGACTTAAAGTTGTTCATAATATCTTCATATTTTATGCTTAAATTATCTGTAAGATCTAACGTCCCCTTTTTCATTTCTGATATTGATAATATGTGTTCTCTTTTATGATCAATCTTGTTAAGAGTTAGTTTTATTATTATTTCAAAGAAATCATTTTTCCTTTGTTGAATTTCTCTCATATTTGTTTTCTTTTCATTAGTTTCTGTTATCTTTATTATTTTCTTCCTTCTACTTTCTTTGTGTATGATTTGCAATCCTTCCTAAGAAGAAAGCTGAAATCATTGGTTTTCAGATTTTTTTTTCTTCTACTATATACATTTCAGACTACATATTGCCCTCTAAGCACTGCTTGAGTTGCATCCCACAAACTCTGACATGTTATATACTATTGTTCAGTATAAAACATTTTACAAATTCTATTTTATGTTATCTTTGATCCATGGGTTATTTAGAAGTGATATGTTTTATTTTCAGGTAGTTGACGATTGTCTAATTGTATTTCTAGATTAATTCTATTGTGCTCGGAGAACCTATTCTGAATTATTTCAATCTGTTAAAATTTTTGATACTTGTTTTATGCTCAGCATATGGTTGATTTTGAAAAAATGATCCATGCACACTTAGAAAGAAGAGGAATTCTATCACTGGGTGCAGTGTTTTATCTATTTCAATTAGGTCATTTATCCATTGTGTTTTTTATATCTTTTATATACTTAAGTTTTTGCTACAGTTCCAACTATTAAGACAGGAGTATTAAATTTTCCACTATGCTTATAGATTTATCTATTTCTCTTTTAGTCTGTCAGTTTTTGCTTTAAATATTTTATGGCTACATTGATGGATACCTACAAATTTAGAATCCTGCTATCTTCCTATGAGGTTATCATTTATATGTATCATTATGAGCCATTCCTTTCTATCTGTAAAAATGCCTTCTGGCTTAATGTCTCCTTCATCTAGAATTAATAAAACTGTATCACTCTTCATTGATTAAGATTGCATGGTGCATTTTTTTCCTTCAACCTATCTTGTTTTTACATTTGAATGTGTCTCTTGTAAGCAGCATAGAGCTGGATTTTTAATCTGACCTGCCAATCTTATTTATTTAATTGGCCTACTTCATTTACTTTTAGTGAGATTACTGGTATCCTTGGGTTTGCATCTACCACATAACACATTTTTTTCTTATTTAGCCGACCTGTTTCTTCTCTCCTTTTCACCTTTTTTTGGACTAATCAACGTATTTTTAGTTCATATTTTCTTCTATTGACTTGTTAGTTATTTATTCTTTTCCCTTTTTGAAATTTTAACCCACATCCTTTGCTTACCACAGTCTTCTACAAATTTCTATTTAATACTTCCCCAAGAATTCTAGAACCTTAGAATCATTATGTTGTACACCTGAAACCAACAGGATAGTGTATATCAATTATACTTCAATGAAAAAGAAAAAAAGGAAAGAATTCTAGAACCTTAGAATATTTTAACTCCATTTAACCCCCTCCCACATTTTCATTTTGATTCCTTATAAATGTTTAACACCATCGAACATTACAATTATTGTTAGGCGTAGTCAGTATTCACTTCCATTAACATTTTTACTCTGTGAGCTCTTTATTTCTTCCTGCTTTCAATGTGTTTCCATCTGGGATCATCTTCCTCCTATCCATATAGCTCTCTTTAGTTTTTCTTTTAACATAGGTTTGCACGCAAATAATTCTGTCAGCTTTCCTTTATAGGAAAGTGTCTTTATTTTACCTTCATTATTGAAGAATATTTTCTATGAGTGTAGAATTCTGTGCTGATAGTTTTTTTTCCCTCAGCCTATTCATGATGCCAGTGCATTGAGTCCTGGCCTCCTCCGGAGATGTCGAGACTTATCAACTATCAGCCTCTCCTCTTCTAGGATTCTAATTATATGTAAGTTGTGCCTTTTGACTACAACCCACATGTTTCTTACACTCCTGTCTGGTTTTTCCTACTTTTTTCTCTAGGCTTCACTTTGAATAGATAGATAGATAGATAGATAGATAGATAGATAGATAGATAGATCTGCCTTTGAGATGAATAATCCTGTCTGTGCTCTGTATCCATTCTCCTATTCAGCCCATGTACTGAGTTCTTAATATCATATATGATTGCTTCAATTCTAAGATGACTACTCATTTTTTTAAGTAGATTTCAATTCTGTACAGAAATTCACATTTTTTATCAATTTTACCAATCTTTTGCGCTGTTTTCTTCATCAAAGTGATATTAAAGTCATCATTGCTCTGCTTTTTTCTCTCTACTTTATTCATAAGTTTCCATTTTTTTAGCACACATAGTAACTTACTGTAAAACAACTTTATTGACATATAGTTTACATACCACCCTTTTAAAGGATGGTTTTTAGTGTATTCACAGAGTTGGACAACAAATTACCGCTCTCTAAATCAAAACATTTTCATCAACCCATAAAGGAACTCCATATCCATTGGCAGCCACTCCCCATTGCTGTAGCTGCCAACCACTAGCAACCACTAATCTACTTTCTGTCTCTATGGATTTGCCTGTTCTGGACATTTCATATACACAGAATCATACACTGTGTGACCTTTTGTGACTAGCTTCTTTCACTTGGCATAATGTTTTCAAGTTTATCTATGTTGTAGAAGGTATCAGTATTTCATTACTTTTGGTTGCCAAATAATACTCCATTGCGTGGATAGACTACATTTTGTTTACCCATTCTTCAGTCTTTAGACATTTTAATTATTTCCACTTCTTGGTTCCTATATATAATGCTGCTATTAACAGTCATGTACAGGTTTTGGTGTGGAACATATGTTTTCAATTCTCTTAGGTATATACTGGAAGAAATTGCTAGGTCATATGGTAATTCTATGTTTAACATTTTGAGGAACTGCCAAACTGTTTTCCAAAGTGGCTGCACCATTTTACAATTACAGAAGCAAGAGATGAGGGTTCCCATTTCTCTGTATCCTATCCAACATTTCTTATTGTCTGTCTTTTTGGTTTCAGTTATGCTAACAGTTATGCAGTGGTACCTCATTGTGGTTTTGGCCCATGAGACACACCCAATCTCTTCTAAGACCCTCCATGTGACTGAATGCTGGGACTTTTTTGGTTCCTTCCTAGTGGCTACCCAAAGTTGTCCAGCAACTTTGTCTCCAGAACATGCTTTTCTGAGGCTGAATCTCCTACTTTTAGCATCATTTGCCATCTGGATAGGCTGAGAATTTCCCAAGTTTTTAATATATTTGTTGTGTTTCAATACATTATACTCATTATTTTTGATGCTCAATTTCTCCAATCTTAAGTCAATGGGAGCCCTCTTAAGGTTGACTGCTGTGTTCTTTTGGCACAGTCTTTGATGACTCCCTTAACAATAAAATGTCCCAGGCTCAACTTGGGTATTTATTGCCTTAGATCTAGAGACAGCCATTTCTGAAAGAAGCCCTGGTTCATTTTAGGGAGAAATGTTTTTAAAGCTACAGTTTGGGGGGCACCTGGGTGGCTCAGTCGGTTAAGCATCTGACTTCAGCTCAAGTCATGGTCTCAGGGTCATAGGGTGGAGCCCCAAGTCTGGCTTGGAGCTCAGCAGAGAGTCTGCTTCTCTCTCTCTCCCTCTCCCTCTACCCCTCCCCCTGCTTGTGCTCTCTCTGTCTTCTTGTCTCTCTCTCAAGTAAATAAATAAAATCTTAAAAAAAAAAAACACCCAAAACTACAGTTTGGGCTCCAAGATGCTCATTGATACTGGGTTGTCATTCATTAATTCCGTGCCTTTTCAGGGCTGGGAAATATGTAATCTTAAAGATGAAAAAAGTAAGGGTGCCTGGCTGGCTCAGTCAGTAGAGCATGTGACTCTTGATCTCAAGGTTGTGCGTTCAAGCCCAATGCTGGGTGTAGAGATTGCTTAAAAATAAAGCCTTTAAAAAAATAACTAAAAATGAAAGAAGTAACAAATTCATACTAATATTTTAAATTTTTTACTTATATCTCTTTCACAATGAAAATTGTAGTTCCTAACCACATGAACATAATATTAATTTGCTTTATCTTATGATTTCTGCACATTTTAATTTCACCATTTCTTTTATTTTAGCTTCCATGTCCTTAAAGATGAGATGTTTACTAGGCACACATTGTTTCGTCAGTTTGCAGTGCTTGCTGATACATCCTTCAATTATATTGTAAGTACATATAATGTTTAGATACTGTTTGTCTCTTTGATGATATTTGTACATGTCTTTCTGTTCTTATTTAACATTTATTGAGCCCCTGTCTGGAGATAGTACATGACAGTCATCTGCTAGATACTAAGGATGCAAGACCGAGTGCCTGAGCCCAAAGAGCTCAATCTGGTATGAGATATAAATGTGTAAACAAACCCTTTCAATGCAATATGCTTGGGCTATAATAGAGGCAAGCAGAAATTTCAGAAGAGGGGTGACACTAGCTGGGAAGTATCTGTCAGTCTGACCACTTGTGGGCATGGATGGAATGTAAGGAAATAGATCCAAGTATCCAGTCCCTTCCAAAGGGAAAAAGGAGGCAAAAGAGTCTTTTCCTAGTACCAAGCCATTCATTTTCGTACTAGAAGTCACTTGTAGATAAAGCCCAATTTTAAAATAGACTATTTTTTTAAACTGTGTACTTAATGCTTTTATTTGGGAGCTATGATTGTAAAGGTAAATGATGTTCAGTGTAGAAATATATCCAGGAAATTTCAAACAGTAAGAAAATTAGCAAGCTATACATGCTGTTGAGCACCCATCATGATGCTAAGTATTCTGGGACAAGGTTTGTGGGAAAGAGCACAAGAAATACAAAATACAGGCTCTTGCTTTAGGAAGCTTCCAATCTAAAATTTCTCTTAAAAATTTTTTCAACATCTTTGACTTTGACTTTATTTTCTAAATCTTAAGTTGCTGCAGATGAAAGAACTCAAGAATGTTGGCAAGATAACATTTAATTATTTCTAATTTTTAACTAAATTACCTGGTAATCTGAACCAGCTTGCTGAGCTTTTAATAATTGACTCCCCTGAAATATCCCCAGACTGGATTACATAGATAAGAATATATAGTCTCTTTTTTATCCTTTTGGTTTTTCCTCTTTCGACTGAAGTTTCCAGTTTCAATTGGAGTAATCCTCATTTCAGAAATTTAATCAGCTGGACAAATAAAATATTGTTGGACCCATGAGAATGTTGTGCTAACTCAAAAATCGGGCTTTTTGAGGATTACCTGGTAAAACTGTCTGGTCCAAAGGTGAACTGGCCAGGTTTAATGAAACAGAATTCTAAAAATCTCAAAGTTACACCAGTACAGGCACATTAATAGATCCAGTCCTTGTCTTGAGAAAAATCTCTGACTTGCCCTCAGCCTATCTTCCTGTGAGGAGAGCTAGTGCTCCATTCAGCCTAGAATACGTCCATCTGCCATTACTTCTGTGGGATTCCAGGCTCATGATCCTTATCTATATGTCCACACAGTATACAGGCACTTGAGATACTCATCAGAGTGGATAGCAAATATTGAAGAAAAATAGACAGGGGCAGGGGTAGGGAGGAGGGAAAGAGAGTGATGAGTGAGTGAGTTATGGATAACTAATTTTTCCTTGGTTCCCTACACCATAGCCACTCCACAAATATTTATTGAGTGTAAACATGCACCAAGTACCATGCTCCGTGCTGGGAGTGAGATAGTGCACATGACAAATAGGGCTCCTTCCTTTACAGACTATAAATTTCATGAGGGCACGGACTGGTCTGTCTTGTCAACTGTTTTACTCGCAGAGATTAGAATAGTGCCTGACTTACAGAGTAGAAAACATAGATATTAGTAAGGAAATATCACAAACTTTAAATGACATTTGAATAAATGCTATGAAAGAAAAAGTTTAATACTTTCTTACTATTGAGGTATTTGTATGGGAAAGTGCACAAATATTAAGTGTATCATTTCGAGTGTTTTGCCCTGTGTAGCCATCACCTAAATGAAAGGGTAGAACATTTCCATCCTCCCTGAAAGTTCCCTGGTGTCCCTTTCCAGACAATACCTTAGTCACATCCCCATGCCGGACAAATATTGCTCTGATTTCTATCACCGCAGATTAGTTTTGCCTGTTCTTAAAACTTACGCAGATGGAATCATACAGTGTGTATTCTCTTATGTCTGGCTTATTTTAACTCAGCATAGTGCTTTTAAGATTTATCCCTGTTATTGTGTGCATCCCTAGCAATTGTTTCTCTGTATTGCTGAATAACATTCCATTGTATGAATAAACAATAATTTGTTTATCTGTTCTCCTCTTGATGGACTCCTGGGCTGTTTCTAGTTAAGAGCTGTTTTGGGGGGAAAAGGTGCTGCAAACTTTCTCATACTAGTTATTTCCGGAAATATGTTTTTGTAACTCTCAGGTAGGACTAGAATACCTGGGACATAGGAATATATTTTTTTTAAATTTTTTTTTGGAATATATGTTTTTAAGTTTATATTCCAGAGTGACTGTATCCTATTACTGTACCATCAGCAAAGTGGGAGAGTTCCTGTTCTCTACATCTTCACCAACTTGATATTGTCATTTTCTAAAGTTGGGCCATCCTAATATAATGTCTCACTGAACTTCTAACTTGCATTCCCTAATAATTAATGATGTTAGTATCTTTTGATGTGCTTATTGACTAATTTCAGATCTTCTTTCCGAAAGGGACTACTCAAGTTGTTTAAAAAAAATTGTGGCAAAATACACCTAACTTAAATTTTACCATCTAAATATTTTTAATTGTGCAGTTTAATAATGTTAAGTACATTCACATTGTTGTGAAACCTATCTCCAGAACCCATTTCATCTCACAAAAAGGAAACTTTGGCGTGCCTGGATGGTTCAGTCAGTTAAGCGTCCGACTCTTGATTTCAGCTCAGGTCACGATCTCAGGGTCGTGAGATGGAGCCCCATGTCTGGCTCTGTGACAGTGTGGAGTTTGCTTGAGACTCTCTTTCTCCCTCTCCTGCTGCCCCTCCTCTCACTAAAATAAATAAATAGATCTTTTAAAATAAATAAATAAAATGAAGCTTCATACCCATTAAGCAATAACTCCCCATTCACCCTTCCTCCCATTTTTGTCTGTTTTTAATTATTATTGAGTTATAGCATTTTATTATATATCCTGGATACAAGTTCTTTTGTCATATATATATTGCAAATATTTATTCCCATTCTATAATTTTTCCTTCCATTTTCAGAACAGCACCTTTTGAAGGTCAGAAATTAAAAATATTTTTAGAAATGTTAAATTTAAATAAAGGTCAACTTAGCTCTTTTTTTCTGTGGCAGATTGTGTTTTCTGTGGCCTTGACTATATCCCACATTTGGCATATACTTACGATGTGATTTTGATCTTTGTTTTCCCGTTGAATTTCACATTTCACTGGTTCCTTTGTTCTAATTCAATTAACAATGTATATATGAGTCTGTTTCTAAACCTGTATTTTCTTCCATTGGTCTATTTGTCTGTCCTTTACCCAATACTATATTATCTTAATTGATATTGCTTTATAATAAGTCTTGAAATCAGGTGGTGTAAGTTCTTCCATTTTATTCTTCTTTTCCAAGATCGTCTTGGCAATTCTATTTGGTTTTTTGTTTGTTTGTTTTGTTTTGTTTTAAGATTTTATTTATTCACTTGAGACAGAGTGATACAGAGAGAGAGCGTGAGCAGGAAGAGAGGCAGAGGGAAAGGGAGAAGCAGGCTCCCCGCTGAGCCAGAACCCCGATGTGGGGCTCAATCCCAGGACTCTGGGATCATGACCTGAGCCGAAGGCAGATGATTAACCATCTGAGCCACCCAGGCACCCCAGTTCTATTGTTTTTTTAAGATTTTATTTATTTAGACATATCAGATAAAGGGCTAGTATCCAAAATCTATAAAGAACTTATCAAACTCAACACCCAAAGAACAAATAATCCAATCAAGAAATGGGCAGACGACATGAACAGACATTTTTCCAAAGAAGACATCCAAATGGCCAACAGACACATGAAAAAGTGCTCACCATCGCTCGGCATCAGGGAAATCCAAATCAACACCTCAATGAGATACCACCTCACACCCGTCAGAATGGCTAAAATTAACAAGTCAGGAAACAACAGATGTTGGCGGGGATGCGGAGAAAGGGGAACCCTCCTACACTGTTGGTGGGAATGCAAGCTGGTGCAACCACTCTGGAAAACAGTATGGAGGTTCCTCAAACAGTTGAAAATAGAGCTACCATCCGATCCAGCCATTGCACTACTGGGTATTTACCCCAAAGATACAAATGTAGGGATCCGAAGGGGTACATGCACCCCCATGTTTATAGCAGCAATATCCACAATAGCCAAACTGTGGAAAGAGCCAAGATGTCCGTCGACAGATGAATGGATAAAGAAGAGGTGGTATATATACACAATGGAATATTATGCAGCCATCAAAAGGAATGAGATCTTGCCATTTGCAACGACGTGGATGGAACTGGAGGGTGTTATTCTGAGTGAAATAAGTCAATCAGAGAAAGACATGTATCATATGACCTCACTGATATGAGGAATTCTTAATCTCAGGAAACAAATTGAGGGTTGCTGGAGTGGTGGAGGGTGGGAGGGATGGGGTGGCTGGGTGATAGACACTGGGGAGGGTATGTGCTATGGTGAGCGCTGTGAATTGTACAAGACTGTTGAATCACAGATCTGTACTTCTGAAACAAATAATGCAATATATGTTAAGAAAAAAAAAAGACGAAGATAGCAGGAGGGGAAGAATGAAGGAGAGTAAGTCAGAGGGGGAGACGAACCATGAGAGATGATGGACTCTGAAAAACAAACGGAGGGTTCTAGAGGGGAGGAGGGGTGGGGGGGATGGGTTAGCCTGGTGATGGGTATTAAAGAAGGCACGTTCTGCGTGGAGCACTGGGTGTTATGCACAAACAATGAATCATGGAACACAACATCAAAAACTAATGATGTAATGTATGGTGATTAACATAACAATAAAAAACTTAAAAAAAGATTTTATTTATTTACTTGAGAGAGAGAGCGTGCGCACGAGCAGAGCGAGGAGCAGAGGGAGAAGCAAAGCCCCGCTGAGCACGGAGCCCAGTGTGGACTCTGGGATCATGACCTGAGCTGAAGGCAGATGCTTAACCAACTG